AGCAGTGGCGTGGGCAACAGAGGGCTATTGAGCTCGCCTTTCAGTGCTGAGAAGAAAAAGAGGGGGAAAGAAGAAGAAAACTGCATGCATGGTCATTAGGAAACCTTCTCTGGTGCATTTGGGCCTGCAGAAAGCCCCTCCACCCCCAGACCCTCTCCTCCCCTCCACCCCCTCCTTCAGGATTAGCACTCGCACGGAAACAACTTTTTGTGTGAAGCCCGGAGGGAAAATGAATCAGAGTTAGATGTTTTCTGTTACAGGTTCGGCAAACATCCCTGTGGCTGACCATGGCTCTGCCTGTTGTTGTATTCCTGTTGTCTCTCATTGCACTGGCTGCTGCATCTGCACCTGACTGTAAGGAGCTCGTAAAGCCTTTCATGCCAGAGGACCCCAAACAGGTAAGTCACCTAGTGTGTTTGCTTTCTCTGTCGTATTTACAACAATGATGCTGGAGTTTTTTTTAAACATGTAAGGACCTTATTTTATTTTATTTTTATTTTTTTTGTGCATCAAGGTGTTTGGAAAATGGATTTATGTGATGGGAGCTGGCGACCCCAAACAGTACCACAAAGCACTGGAGTCTCTGAAAAGCTCCTGGATAGACTTGTCCCCGACTTCCAGCGATCAGACTGTGACTTTGCGATGGGGAGATCACTGCTTGTGAGTTTGGTGATTATGTTATTTCAATATGTTAAACAGACTTATGTATTTAATGCAATTCAGTATTAAAAGTGAAACATTTAAATTTAGTTGTGAAAGACAGATTCTGCCACGCCTTGTTGTTTCTCAGTAACCGGTGCATCACGGGGGAGGTAAATGCAACCATCTCAGGAATTGCTACCACATTTCGCAGTGAGTGAGCTACAGCTAGATTAATTTGTCTTCACAACAGACAATAGATTTCTCGTATAGTAACCCAATGCTGTGCTTTTAAAGAAAATCTGTCAGACCACAAAGGGCACATCCTGCAGACTTGCTCTGACTGCCTCCTGTGGACCGACACCTTCCGAAATGGGGACGTCACTGGCAGATACATCCTGCAGTTCAGTGAGTCCTGCACTTCTCAGCACATCAAGTCAGGGCTTCAACCTGGATGTTGACATTCTCTCTTTGCTTGCAGCGAGGACAGGAAAAATCGATCCCAAACATGTGGAAATTTTCAAAAAACAAGTTGGCTGCTTGAACTTCCCAGATGACTACCACAGCTATGATGGCAAAACAGGTCAGCAGCTATCCAAAAACCTCCAACGACAGGGTTTTAACTCCCACAGGGTGGAGATTCTGCGAAATGTCATATTTAAGTCCAATAGTTTTTAGGTCTTCATTATTTTTGGATCAATTCCATAAAATACAATGCACACGGTGAGGAAATGAGGCCACCGTTCTCCATCCTGCTCAGGGAAACGGTCACATTTTGTTTCTATTTTTCCTGCAGAGCTGTGCCCTGACGACAAGGAGAGCACGCAGGAATAAAGAGGAGGCAACGAGATCCACAAAGCTGCATGCATTAAAAGAAAATACATACAGTGTTGTCGTATGTGCTGTCTATATGCTCTGACGTCATGAATGCCAGGACGCAAAGTTATAAATGATTTAATCTCCTTTAAATATTTACTCACTGTAACGGCATCGTGTTGGGAAAACCACATCGACAGCTGTTTTTGTCATATCATAACACAGTTATTAAAACTGTTTTTATTAACAGTGCACTAACTGTCATACCCATTATTCACTAGAAACACAGATGTGTTGAATATAAAATAAAAAGGTATTGTTAAAATGATTTTCTTATTGTGGAATGAATCCAATATATCCCACACTGTAAAAGTGGCGATTACATTTTATGACTATAAAATAACAGAAGATAACTGCTTGCATGTACACACTGATGCTACCAATGTGCTTGTTCTGATACAAATAAACCCAGCAATACCACTGGGGTCTAAAGTCGGCACCACATCAAGTTTCATATTTCATCTAATCCACCTCGTGCACTTCTTGATAACAAACAGTTTGAGCAAACACAGAAATAATCTGTTATAGTGTGGATATGGCTGAGAGTCTAACAGTTTTTCAGTCCTCATGTCTTAAGCCATCAGCCTGCTGTAATGGCTCCCCATTTCAGTCTGAACGCTCTCTATTTTGCACGATCTGCTGCTCTCTGTCAACTTGCTGGTTCTCGTGCTGCTTGTGTGTGAGCCGATCCCGCCCTGTCCCGGTCGCCTGCATCTGAGCAGAGCCACCACCTGTTTCTGGCACTGAGAGGACCCGAAGTAATAGAGGACCGGATCCAGACAGCAGCTGAAGCTTCCTATGCACATGGAGAGCAGGTATGCCTGGTAAGAACTGTTGCTAGCCTTGTGCGCCAGTTGAACGTAGTGAACCATGAGGATGATGTTGGTGGGGGTGAAACAGACCACAAACACCAGCAGGACAACCACAGCCATCACCACAGCGCGAGTCTTCTTGGAGCGGTTCTCCACGTTGGCTTCAGCCAGAGCCTGAATGATGCGTACGTAGCAGACAACGGTGAATATAAAAGGGATGAAGAAGAACACAGAGGAGTAGATGGGGAAGAAGTAAAGATAGTAAGACTGTAGTTTTCCTACGTCCTGCACATCATGGCATGTGGTGATGCCCAGAGACGATATATGTAAGGTCTGTTCTGAGATCAGCAGGGGGCACACTCCTCCCAGGGATAAGAGCCACATAGCTGCGCACACAGCTGAAGCCGTCTGAGGGCTGCGCCACATGAGAGAGTTCATGGGGTAAACCACAGCCAGGAAACGGTCAATGCTGATGCACATCACAAGCAGGACGGAGCAGTACATGTTACAGTGGAAGGCAGCAGTGACGGCTCTGCACATGAAGGATCCGTAGATCCAGTTGTTGCCGTGATAATGGTAGGCGATCTTAAAGGGAAGGAGCAGCCCGAACAGCAGGTCAGCACAGGCCAGGTTGAGCATGTAGATCACCGCCGGCTTCTTGGGACGGATTTGGCGCACGAACATCACCGTGGCAAGAAGGTTAAGGGGCACGCTGATGATGAAGACGAAGATGTAAACGGTGGGGATGAAACGTGTGGCCAAGCCACCCTCGAGAAATGCTTTGGTCTCCTCCGAGACATAATAGTGCTTCCGGGGATGATGGGGGTGAGGGGGGTGTACTTTTCTGGACTCGGTCGATCCTGAGCCTCCATCATCTAAGAGTGACAGGTCTAAGTAGTCTGCTGCATCATCTCCAACCATTACAAAGTGGCCAGAAAAAGTCCGCAGAAAGGGAGTGGAGCCTTAAAAGAAACGAAATGTGGTTACGCCAAAGGGATGCACAACACTCTAAAAAAATTAAAACAAGAACAAGTTGGAAAAACAAAATTTTTTTTTTTATCTGATCAGATTGTTAAATACATCCATCAGGTTCAAGCTCGTCCTAATGCCCCGATAATATTTTAGAAAGTCCGGTTAAGTAAAATAAACTCCATAACACGAGGGTGATTCTCTTGGGCACGCTTTAATTACCCAAAGGTTAACTCAAAATACATGAATGCATTTTCATTAACAACAAACAAACAAACGTTTTCTCATAAAATACTGCAAATAAATAAATAAATAAAATTTCAACTTTTTTGTATTAATTAGTTGACTAACCAGTAGAGATCACACGTTTCCGTGTCCCCACTGACCATTACTACAATTTCAATCGATTTTAAATGTATAGAAAATTTAACTATTACTCAACTTTTAATGCCAAAATACAATTATACGCACATTATTTTAACTATAAATAAATTTATTCTATGAAGTACAAATATTTACACATCCTCCAGTTTGCTTTGAACCCAGTAACGCTATACAATTTACCTGCTACAAAATAAAATGTTTTTGACATGAGCACCAAGGAAGTGACATCAACGAGTCTCTTGAAGTGCAAAGAGAATCAAATGTCACTATATTATCTTACCTATTTATTTATTCACAGAACATTGTTGAGCTTTGTTATTGCTTTAGTGTATGGGCTTGTTCTTTTCATTTTTTAGCAGCCTCTAAGGGTTAAAGTAATTTACCACAAACATTCAGGGCCAGTATTTAATTCCGACTGTATATTTGTCAGATGACATGTTGGATGTCTTTTTTTTTCCCTAAATTGCTCTAAGAATAAATATGTGCCCCCTCCCTTTAAAAAGGTTATTTTAAAATTTATTTTGTCAGGCTCAACGCTTCAATTGCTGTATGAATAAATGGTTAAAGCAAAACAACATTACTGAAAACATAAGAATTTTATATCCAGAAATAAAATGAAGTAAAGGTGTGTACTTACAAAATAGTGCTACCATTAACCAAAAACTTCAACCCTCTTGTTTTGTTTTGTTTTTTTGCTTTACTGCAGCGAGATTGAATGTTCAAAAAAGTGATCACATTCACTTCTTCCTGCGCAGTGATCTAGTTAAAAGTAAATGTTTAAACCGATCCTGCATGTGTTTCTGGGGGAGATACAAATAAGTAAAGTTTACTCAAGCCCCAAGAGAGTACAAGGCAAACTGTAGACATCATCATCTTAAAGTCTTAGGAAAATGACTTACCATTTCCAGATGGGAGCACAGAGCTTTGAACAGAAAATACAAACAAGCAAATTAAGAGGTGATGCATGTTATTTACTGTAAATCCTCCAAAAATTTAGCAGGAGAGTGGAAATTATGTTTGCTGAAGAGCTGCTGAAAGTGCTGTTATTAAAGGCAGGAAACTCCACCTCCTCTCCAACTGAACATTTCCTATCATTTAACAAAAACCCTGAGTAATGTCACAGTGACGTGGATCTTCAAGCCAAACGAAAACCCAAGTAGGTTTTTTCCAACAGGGTCAAAGGTTGCCAGACCAAAGGGAAAAGCACATCACTGAATATGAATGCATGACAAAAGCACCAAAACAACTACTACTACCCATAATAACAATAATAATAACAATAACGACGACGACGATGATGATAAGAAGAAGGAGAAAAGGTTTGGGATGTGCAATTTATTATGAATATTGTTTAAGCATTAGACATCAATTATATAGCAACAACTACATATAAAAATACATCACATATAGCTTTTAAAATGTTCAAATGTTTATTAATTAAAAACACGTGTCTTTAAATTCTTTCATTAAAAAGGCACTATATTATTTCATACAGCCATGCAGGCTGCGCCGCTCCAGTTTCTGAAATAAGACTGTACTGGTTCGTCTGACATTTCCATCAAACTTGAACATGAACATCACAATTGAATTCTTCAAAATACATTACCTTTACAATCACCACGTGGGAAAGAAAAAAAAATATAGGTACACAAAGTGGACGATAAAGTTTCATTTTGGTGCGATCCATCAAATTATACGCAGAAGAAACAAACCACGGCACCGTGTGACGTTTTTGTGCTGTTTAACAAACTCAGTACAGTCCAAAGGCACGACCAGGTTTCTCCCAACTCTGTTTTTATTTTCCGTAGAACTTCTTGTTCAGGAGGAAGATGAGTAAATTGACATTCACTTTGGCTTTGTCGAACATCTTCATGACCGCCACGCCTTCGTACTGCAGCTGAAGGAGATCCTGCCAACATCAAACCGACTTGTTAATGCGCTGGTGCTGCAAATACGCTACAAATTATATCATAATAAAACACATCACTAAGTTCTTTCTTAAGTCAGGCTCATGCTGTGCTGGCTTATTTCCATGACTATTCCTGCCAGTAGTCCATAGAGAAGAAGGGAAATTCAACCATTTGTCACCAGGATTAAGTGTTGACGAGTGAGTTTTCTGAACGGAAATGTTTACCTGGAAATGAAGCTGGACTTTTTCCATCTCGACCCCCATAAACTTGGCTTTCACCTCAAAGTCTCCAACTTCCTCAGTGGGCGAAATGTCGAACATGACATTTTTGAACCTGAGAGATAAGAAAAACAAAAGTGAACACCGGATGTGTGAGAGGATGAGAGTCCGTTTGAAATTATAGCTGAAATGTTGGAGAAGCTCTGAACAGACGTTTGACTGACTCCATAACAATGAGAGACGGCCCACAGAGAAGAGATCCATTTGCTTACATGGTGCTCTTGACCGCTAATGTAAAAAAGATCAAAAAAACTGATAGTTGATTACATGAAGTCCAACAAAATGTAGGCACAACCTCGTTCTCATCAATGACACCAAGGTTGAGCAGATAACAAGCGTTTCTTGCCGTTATCGCTGAGGACCTGACACCAGCTCTCTGATAAAGAAGACCGAATAAAGCCTCCACTTTCTGAGGCTGAAAAAGGCAAACATTCTGACAACTTCCACCTCTGCAGCAGTGTGGTACAGTACCTGCACTGTCGCTGACCAAAGGGCGCTGCAGCTGGTAGTAAAAGCATGAGAGCACACTGTTGGTACCCAGCTTCCTGCCATCACATCTATTTAAAATATAGCATCTGGATAACATCACCTATGACCCCACTCACAATAGTCTGTTTGATCATCACACAGGGGGGGAAACAGTACCGGTGTCTCAGGGCTTGCACTTTAACATTTGTTTTTCCTTCCCCGGACTGTAAATCTGTTAAACTATTGTCTCTCTGGCTCTTAAGCACTTTATCAAATGCACTCTATTAGACATAGAGCTATACACTGAGGTGTCATACACAGTGACTGGATCAGAAAACACCATCAGCCAGCACTTTGCCAATAAAAGAATACCAGTACTGTAAAACACTATTATGCTGCTATTTTATAATCATCTCATTATATTACATTTGCCTTTTCCTTCTTTATACTGTAGTGTAGTTACAGCTCTGCTTGTATAATGACAAATAACATGAAATCAAGCACCAAAAAGCGTCTGGTGTTGGGAAAGCGTAACTTTTGTACCTTACAGCCAAGTTTACTGTAAGGTACGGTTAACAGACAAATAACCAAGATGTGACTGAACAAATGATAAATATAAATTGTTTAAATAAAAACACTAAATGTGTTTAACAGCTTCTGCAATGTAAAATGACATGTAATGATATGTAAGAAGGATGTTAGCACCAAGCCCTTTTCCACAGAACAGGTGAAGAACTGAACTCACTGGTTTGTCTGAAGTCCCTCTATCTCCAGGATGACTCCCTTCTCATGCAGTTTTGCTGCAGTGTACTTCAGAGACTGGGGCTTCCACTTCTTACTGCCCTTATCTTCCCCTTTCCCGTCCAGTTTTATAGATCTGCGTGAATTCCTGGACCATACAAACACACCAAGGGACATGTGTTGCCATTGAATCACAAGTTAAAATCATCCATCAAGTCTTTACCCTAATGAGGCTTGTTATAAATTAGCATACAACTCACTTCCTGTTTAGGTTATCCAGGCAAGTCTTGATGTAGGCATCATAGTAGTTCATCTGTTCCTGGTAGAAGGCAGTTTTTGAGTTAAGGGCAGTCAGAGTTTGCTGGAGCTTCACGAGCTCGGCCTTCCTCCTCTGTCTGTAGCGCCTTTGGTATCGGATGTCCTGTCAAATACACATTTTAGCTTCACAAATACAGAATGCGGGTCTGCATCTTTAGCTGGGAAAAAGAGCTGCTTATGAACCTTTGATATTTCGTTGATGAGGTCCTGGTATTTGTTACTTGCAGTAGCAAGGCCAGCTTGCTCCAGGTTACGAAGGTTCCTGATAATCTTCCTCTTCTTCTGCTCGAGCGGTAACTGGCTGTCCTCCAAAAGCGCTGGGCTGCTCTTCAGACCCTCTGGTGTCTGAGCATCCTGGACTGCCCTGCGCTCAACAATCCTAGTATGCTCTGACTCCTTAAGGAATAAGTTGCATACGAAGTAACATAATTAATTACACTGAGAGGCAAAGAAAAAAATAATCAAATGAATATGCTCCTTTGATGAATGAAAGTAGCTGGCAGGTATATATAGAGGAAAAACAAGCAGAGAAACGTAGATCACCTGTGCTGCAGTGGCTGGAGTCTCAAGAATATCAGGTAAAGTCTCTCCATGTTGGATCCGAATCACATCCACAATCAGCTTTTTTGTCCTGATGTGCACACACAAAAAGATCAGATGTGACACATTAGCTTCTTTTGTTTTATTTCACGTCACCACAAATATGTGCTTATGTTAATTAGTGTAACATCCGTTACCACCAAGTACAGAAGTAACTAGAGCACACACCCACATTTTACTCACACCTACTGCGCTAACTAGCATGCTAACACTTTAAAAATGTATCATTAAGTTGGGGGGCTTTTCACACCCTGTGTGTTCATACACCATTCTGCATTTAATCACTAGTTATTAAACCTTGGCTCTCCTCCACAGCATGACGTTTGTCTCTTCTCCATTAGCAGATGGCGGCCCCTCCCTGATGTTAAAAGGGAGTTTTTCCTTCCCACTGTCACCAAATACTTGGTTATTTATGGCCGACTGATTATTGGGGGTTTTCTCCGACACAGCAGGCACATTGAAGTGGCTGTTGTTGAAATTTGGTGCTAAATGAATAAAACACAACTGAACTGATGCCAAGCGCAGAGAAAAATGTGATTACTTTTGGCTCTATAAGGACTGTTATGTAAGATGAATGCTCAATACAGGACAGAATGTTAATTGCCTTCAAAAAAAAAATTAAAATTAAAGCATTATATACTGTATATTATCCCAAGGAGCTTGAGTCTTATAACAGACTCTCACAGCATTGTTAGCAGGGTATGTTCAACTTTTTTAAAAAACAAAAATTCAGACACATTTGCAATGTTTATTTTAAATGTCTGGACTACCATTTGTTGCACTAGCTGTGAACTGTGTCCAAGAATAAAGACAAAACCAACAATGCATTAGAGGCAAGATAAGCCAGACCACGAAACTCCTTCCTTTGGAACAGGATATGATAGAAGAGCAGGAAAGACATGCAACTGAAAGATAGCCACAAAGAAACGCACAATGTGTCAAGAAGGGTTAAGTGCAATGCATCATATAGCAATACCAAACTCTATGTAGAAGATTTCGGAAGGAGTGTAATTCGGCGTCAAAGTTTTGCTTTAAATACCAATTACAGGGCTAAACACTTAAAGCCTAAGGATTAAAGTCTGTTACTGAACACACAGGAGTGTCTGTCTCAGCATCCTCCAGTGACAACCTTACTTTGTACTGAGGGTCTTTAAGTCTCTGTCATCTCCTTCCAGCAGCTCAAACTTGCTGGTTAGAGTGAGGGAGATCTCGGTCTTCGCCAGCTGACTCAGAGCACTCTCCCTATTTTGATCATTTGGGTCAACAGCTCCTTCACCTGGGAAAAAAAGCAGTACAGATTTCAGTCAACCTGTGACTAACTTGTGATTAATCAAAATACAAGTTTACTTGAGCGTACCGAGCAATGCCTCTACATCAGGGACGTCTCCGAGGTCCTGTAGCAGCTCATGCAGCAAGTCATTGCGTTCTGGAGAGATGGCGTCCAGATGTTCCAAAAGCAGCTGCACAAACACACATTTCATTAGTCACATCGAAAGTTTAAAATGTTCACATAAAATTAGTCATTGAACATATTAAACATTTGGAGATGAAGCTTGATAGATTTTCCAGTAAACGGAGAGCAGAAGCAGGATACAGCAAACAGCTCTTAAACGTCCTCTTACTAAATTTTGATACAGTCAGCGCCTTAATACATACCACAAGTATGAAACTGTGACTGTTTGGTTTCCAACATCCAGCTCAGTCCTACATATGCAACAGTACATTTATTTGTAGGTAAAAATCACATCCCCTTTTCAGCTGGGATTTTGCTTTTCTTCATATATTTAACACACAGGAACTACCTCAGTGTACGAAACAAAATTTTAGGGAACATCTGTCAAATTCAACAGGAAAGTCATTTCCATTTATAACAGATGGCAAAAAGACACAGCTGGCCAGAACCTACTGACATCCTCAATACTAACCCCCTTTGCAAGGAAGTGTTTTGGAAACATAACGAAAGAAACAGGATGTCAAGTGGTGATGATGATAAAGGGACATAACGTACATATAACATATTCCAAAAACTAAACAGAGAAACAGAAGAAGATTAAAGAAGAAACCTTCAAACTTGACTTGCTTGGGGCAAAATATAAACCCCTGCTAGATCTAATATCAATATAATCTCAATAATATATTTTCTAGTAGCAGCAACAGTAAGAATGTCTGTTTCCAATAACATGTACAAGCATGCAAGACAGGGGCATGGAGAGACAGGGCAAGTCATTTAAGTATGAATCATGTAAAGTTTAATTATATCCTCAGGAGTAGCAGGAAGAAACTTTATCATTTTGCTTGGGTTTACCGAGTGTGTATTGATGATCTCCTCTATTGATATGTAGATGATGGGTTTGCTTAAGTTCACCATATCCGAGTATTCGTCAATATTAAACTTCTCCTCTGGTTCAGGGACATCACACGCCGACTGGAAAAATAACCTGGGCAGAAATCAGCTGTTATTAGTGCTTCCAGAGCAAGAACATGAATCCCCCAGAAACTCAAAATTGCTCAACTTCCTGTGAAGTGCTCTGTATTGTTTTCCTCAGCAAGGTTAGCAGTTCATATTGACCTTTTCCAGTAAATGGACTGGGATTTATCGTGATTTTCAGAAATGATGAGTCAAACACAAAGTGAGGCAGATAACAGCACATAGCCGCCCAGCCTCTCCCATTTAGTTTGCTCTAGTCAGTCTGGAATTTGGTTGATTTTGTAGACACGCATGTCCGAACTGCTGACACGGCACAGCGGCTTCTGCTGCCAGGATTCCCTCTACTTCCACCATGTCAGCTTAACGCGGCCAAACATGTTCATCTCCAGGGTTTACCATTCTTTGTTATCAGAAAGAAACTGGTTCTTCCTCCATCACACTTTTATCATGTTGTTTTGGATGAAAAGCTTACCGTATTATCAGTGCTCTACATTGACCAAAACTAAATTATCTCCATAGACAAATCGGAGTACAGATTTGTGCCGTGTATTCCGCTCCTTACCTAAACTTCTCATATGTCTGTGATATGTAGTTGTTCATGGGCGTCATGTGTGCATTCTCGCCCTCAAACAGATTCTTGGCAGCAGCATGCTGGAGCATCTTTGCCACTGATCCCAGATTACGCCGCTGGTCTTGGTGGAGCTGCCCTCCTGCTGACAGGTCAATGATGTCAAAGCCATCTGGGGCCACAATGGCTGGGTTCATGTAGCGGTAATACAGCAGGTTACCTACAATCTGACATTTAAAAAAAAAAAAGTATTATTTTCTCTTACCTCAGCAGGATAACAATAATAAAACCTATAGAGAAGACCATGCATGCACTATGAAAATCAAACACACACACACCATATATATGTATATATTTAGACATTTGATACCTTTAACAGCTCATCCTCTGAGGCATCTGGAAACTTTTCATGGAGGCTGTTCTTCAGAACTTTAGCTATGTATCTCATGCCATAACTACATGCAAAACACAAAGCATTGATGGGACATGAAGCACAAACATGCACTCACATACTACATGGCAAAAACAAGCTTGTGATAAGGAATGCATCGATATCTGCATTAATGACTGCAAGTATTGATGGCTTTCAGTGCCTTCAGTATGTACCTTAACGTTTAAGATTTTAAATTGCATAACAGCTCCATCTAGTGGTCTATACACTCTAGACTGTGAAGATCGATGAGGCACAAAACTGGGTTACTATGGTAGGACTCGTGTCACACAAAGCACAAACAACTGGCCAGATGAACGCTTGCATCATAGCAAAACTGAACAACAAACACTTAAGAGACCAGAAAATACACTACAAATAAAAATCATGGCATGAAAGAAAACATTTAAACAGTTCAATACAATACAGGGAACTTAACCAGGAAAAGTCACAGAGCAAACAAAGGAAATTGGACTTTGACATTAACAGCTCCTAAGACTTACGGGAGATTATCCAGTGAGGACACAATGGAGTTCAGGACCTTATCTGTAGCCGAACGCAGTGTCTGACTGGAAGCCTGCAGCCTGTTGCGTACTTCCTCATGTGACATGGCCTGCTCAGGAGTCACTTCATAAGGCAGCTTGCTAAGGGGCAGCAGAAGATGCATGTGTAAAGTTCACTGTAAAGTTATGCCTTTTGACCTGAATTTTAAATGCTGGATACCTCCGGCTAATTCAAAATTCAATTAGGATAACAAGCCATTTAAAAAATTTCTTCAGAAAGCTGAAATTTCAAGGTGAGTAAAACAAAATTAAAAAAAAAAAAAAACTGAAAAAATTAGGACATGGACTAAATAAACAGTTGAGAAACAAATTTATTTGTTTTTACTCTACTTACTTTTGTCTCATAATAAAATTTATTTGATACCACAAATATTTAAGTGCAAAAAGCCAGGGCTAACTAACTATGCTGGCAATGTTCTCCTTACCTGGCCTCTCCAGTAGCACTTTCCAGCTGGTTGACCCAGGCTTTGTAGACCTCAACAGGGTTTGTGTTGAGGCCCAAGCTCTTGTCCTCAATGATGTCTTTAATGACTGGAGCCAACAGCTGTCTGAGGGTGTTGTGACCACGTGCACCTCTGTTGAAGCTCACCACCATCTTGATAACTGTTGGATTGCCTGTCACTATGTCCTGGATCTGGTCCACCTTAGAACTGAGACACACAGAGAAGATAATAAAGGACTTTATAGGCACTCATTTACTGTTAGTAGTAGGTTATAGTTGAGTAAAATAAGTGTAAACTAGGTACAGTGAACTTTCATGGTATAGTATTATATGGAGCCACAATACTCACTTGATTTCCTCTTCTAGAGCAGTCTTGAAGAGTTTGAGCAGCAGATATTCCTCTCTCTGGTTAGAGGCATAGTTGTAGAGTGTGAAGATCACAGTGTCCATAAACTTGGTGGACTTGTTTTGGGGCATCTGGAAGATCAGCTTAGCCAGGTAGGATGGATTGGTCTAAAGAGAATGGAAGAGAAGGCAAGCACAGTGTTAGGCGACTAGAAGTGACACTGAATGAGTTCATTTAAAGTTGATGAGGCAGAGTAATGCTTCTTTTCCAATGGTTTGGTGACACTGAAGTTGTCCTTTACTGTCTATTGAAAACCAGCCTGCATTTCAGCTGACTTTAGAACCAAATGTAGTGGAAATTGGACACTATTCCCCCACTATACCCCCCCAAAAAAACCCACGGTGGATGAATTATACAAGTTGCATCTACAAATTATCTACAAATATCTTCCAAATAACTTTGGGACCAGCAGTATTTTGAGTCTTTTTCAGTTGAAATGCCATGACTGGTTTTATATCAGGCACTGGGCGAGTGGAAAAGAAATCAGACACATTTTTCATACCTGTAGTAGATAAAAGAGATGTTGGTAGGCCTCGAGTTTCCGTCTTTTGCCTTTACTCAGGCCCTTAATACCGAGTCTGTCTCCTGCCATTGGGTCATCTTTACTCGCCTTATTTTTCTTGCTCTTCATTTTCTTATTATGGGACACGACATCCTTTTCAAAGAAACAATAATAGATAAAGAAACTTCTTCAGATTTTAGTATCAACAATATTTTACTCAAACTATAAATGATTTCAACCCATTTTATTAACTTTCCGTTTTCCTGTCACATATTAATTAGAGGTGACGGCAACCTGCAGAGTGATCCTGTTCTTCACTAGCAGTCCAATCTTTATATCCATTAGGTTCAAGTCTTTCTCCATCTGCTGATTGGAGCGAATCTTTGTGACTACTTCCTCCCGAAGCCGTGTCACTTCCTGCTCTTCCTGTAGATCCAGAGGGCTCTGCTCTAACAAGTGGACAAATTTACGCACCACTGACAGAGGAGGATCCTTGGCTCCAGCTGAGAGTTGGTGTAAAAAAATAAAGTCAGCAACAAATGCAATTTGCAAGTTTATCCTTCATCATGTTCTGCATTTATATTACAGCTGACAAGCACAGACAGTATTTTTCATATTATACATATTATCATCAGAACTGAACAATATTTTTAGCTCGACTGTGAGGAAAAATTGGGGGAAGAAAATTGCAAATAATGTGGTTGTTCAAAAATTTGTGACTCGCTGTAAGTTGCAATCCTCTAAAACTGGCGAAACATGCATTAAGACCATAATTTCATATTCAAACGCAGATCTAAATTCTTTATGACTCACTTAGCGTCCTGTAGTCCTCTCTGGCTTTGTTGGCCTTCAGAAAAGCTTGGATTTTCACAATTTCTTTTTCCTAAACACAAAAATGAATCAGAGTTTTAGGAAGCATGAAAACAATCCCAAATCCAAATCCTGCACCTGAGTAATGCCAATGAAGTATTACTCACATGATCTTTGAAGAACTGTTGCCTCTGATTGTATTCACGTTTTGCTTTCCACATCTTTACAAAAGACTGGATCTAAATAAAATAAAGTATTTAAACAGTTAAAAAAAAATATATATATAAATATATATACACCAGGCGTTTGATGCAGCAGCTATGTTGCTAATGTTATTCACAGGTCAATTAGTGTTAATAAGTGTTAAAAATCCCAATTAATATTCTCCTGTTTTAGTCTGTCATTCATAACAAAAATAATTCATCACCTTGACAATGGAAGCAACATTTTTCTGAAGCAAGTTCATCCTCTCTTTATACACTTTCCTCTGTTTGTAACCTTTCCAACAAGCCTGCAAAAAAAGGAAAAACTGAGACAAACATGTACAAGCAACAACAAGTTCGGCATCAGCTTCACCACAAATCAGTTTACTGAGCTTAGACATGAAGTTTAGACATCAGTTTTCTAAAGACATTGTTGTCATTGTTGGTTTGTCTTCTAAGAAGATGCAAACAAAAATATGCAGTCAGTACAGTGGCTGTAATTTAATGTAAGTATATAGCTACCTTTGCTTATGATTTGTTTGTGCTTGGATAAGCCCTAGACATCCAGAATCAATGAGGAATATTTGACTAATTACTAAGTACACTTTATAGAGGTTCTATAAACTACCTGCAGTTTTATAACATGTGGTTCTTGCTGATGCAGATACTCCATTCTCTGGGCGTGCTTCTTCCTGACCAGGTAACCTCTGACTCTCGCCTGCAGCTTGGTCACAAAGCACTCATTGGCCAGCCATAGCTGTTCCCTGTTATACTCAGCAGTCACACAGGTCACCACATTCTGAGGGAAAAACCAAGCAGCATGAACATTGTTTGTTTAGATGCATCCAAGTATAAACAAATCTCAATGAAAACTACTGTTAAACTAAAAATGAAATCAGCCCAATCAATGGGAAATGTTAATAAAGCTTTATAATCAGTGGGTTGCACCTGGATTTCTTCTTTACTGAGATGTCCGCTGTTCTGTTCAAACCCTTCAGGCTCCTCCCAGGTGCCCTGTTCAGTTTCCAGGTTATAGAAATAGTCATATTTGTCCTTGATGCAGTGTTTTACCCACACACCATCAGTGCTGCCTGGAGGAAAGCAGAAAGTGCTTTTTAAAAAGTCTGTTGGTGTAAATCTGACACAAATTCTCAACTTCTCACTGGAGTTTCTTGAACCGAAAGCACATTTGCTGTCCCACAGATGTAAATCCTGTTACCTTTGGCATTACCGTCTCTTTGTTTCTGTGAAAGGTCATCTTGGTACGTGTCAGCACATTCAGGAAGAACTGCTCTCAGCCCTACACTGGGAGCCTGCAAAGCCTCCAGTGTATTCTGGGAGTCCCCCTCATTCACTGTCTTGTTAATATGAGCTACTGCTCCAGACACTAGCAATGCAAAGCAAAAGGAAAAACCACTGGTGTCAGCTTCACAACGCTATTGGGTCAAATAAAACAACAGTATACAGTAAAAGTACAACGTGAACACAATGAGTAGTGTACAGGAAAATAAATTAAAATGAATTAGACATCAAATTAATTACATTGACATTTTAATTGTCATTTTTCAATAGTTCATTTCTACGTCTGCCTCGCTATAGCAACAAGAAACACTGGATAAGAGCATCTATAAGGCATTATGTGACAGTTATTCATGGAAACAAATCGCAGATCAATTTGAAGAATTAATCAGGCTTTATCAGAACATACATGCGAGAGCCTCCTTTTCATCCTGGTTGGCTGTCAGTATGGCCTCTTGGATTTGGTCCAGCCACAGCACTGCAGATTCATCACCGGAGCTCTACAATCAAGAAAAAGAACAAAGATCATTCCTCTTCATTTAAGAAGACAAAACTCAAACTCACTCACACAAGGCATTATTAGTAGCTTGTTCATCGTTTCTAAAATATTTAAAGCACCCCGAACCAAAATAATGTGGAAAGTTTTACGTTTGGAAAATATTTCAGGTACAGTAAATGTACACAAAGTCAAACTGGGATTGTGGAGATATTTAATAGAGATAATGATCGCATTATAGAGAACCAGTGCCAGGAACCAGTCGAGACAAATAAGGAAAAGTTGACAAAAGATGACCTGCAACCATATCCTAGCCCACCTCTTAAAGCAATGACCTCAGTCTATAATGGGCTCAAAAGTCACAACAAACACAGCATGTTTATTCAGCTTGATCCTTATGTTTGTTCTCAAGCTAATTTTAGACGACATCAAGGGGTGCATCATCGACCACAAGACCATCAGGAAGGAAGTCGCTGTTTACAAAACACTGAAGCAGTCTGAAAGTAAAGACATTACTTATGCGTTTCACACAAGGGAGGTATAAGAGGTAATATTACATGTGTGATGTGATAGTGCAAGCCAGAAGGACATAGCAGTCCTTCAAAAGCAGCACAGCATGGAGGCAAGACAGGAAGAAAGAAAAACACCGTCCAGGGAAACCACTTTACTAAATGACCATCTTCAAGCACACATTTCACTTCCTTTATTGCATTCATGATGTAATTGCTACATATTTTATGTTGTCTGAAAACCAGCTTCTAATTCACTAGGCTGACAAACACTAAATCGCATTTTAACAAAAGTAAAAAAAACTAGTCAAATGTCTTAAATGAACCAAACTCTTGGACAAACATGATAAACAGCTCTGTAAACCATTAAGTAGTTTTTTCCCCCACTCCAGTGATTCAGAGGGCTGTGACTGACGCAGACAGCAGGGAATTCAGTTTTCAAGTCCAGGCAGGAAACATGCTTCTGTATACACTGCCAGGAAGCTGAGTTTGAGCTCACACCATTATCAGCTCGACCGCTGCACTGAAGAGATGCAAAACACAAAGTTTTACTGGTGGAAAACTCCTGACAAGAAGCAACACCAAGAGGACTGAAGCCTAATTAACTGGGAAATCCTGGAATATCAACTTAACGGTGACATGTTTGACCTCATGCCAGGACTACTCATTTGTTTGATGGCAGTGCAGACCAATCAGCTTGATGGTAAGTTTCTCAAGTTAACACATTACTAAGAGGATAACTCTTTTAAAAAAAAAAAATGCTTAAACCTTGCAGAAAAAGTACATTTTGGTATCCAACAACTGGGAAAGCTCTTTTCCCAACTCAGACTCACAAAATAGAAAACCAAAATTACTTTTTTAAAAAAAAACAAAACAAAAACAAAACAAAAAAAACAAACAAACTTCAGAACATTTTGGTACAAAAGAAAAAAAAACTTTTTGCATGAAAGTTGGTTTGAAGGTGTAAAAACTGTTTTCTACTCTTTACAGGAAACAAAAACAGGACCAAAATCCAACCTCACACAGTGAGTCCAAGGACCTTTAAGGCCGACTATAATGACACAGGCAGAAACTTGCATGTGAAGCCAGAGAATCCAGTGACAGCCTATACCACAGGGGTGCTCAGCACCTGGGTCATACCCTCATCATACATCCTGTCTATGCTGGTGGGCATCCCCTCCAACGGCTACATTCTGGCCTTTCTCAGAGTCCGACTCAGAGCACAGTCCTTTTCCACAGTCGTTCTTCACCTGAACCTGGCGCTGTCTGACCTTCTGCTCCTGCTTTCCCTTTCGCTGCGAGTTCACTACCACTTCAATGGGAACAACTGGATATTTGGGGAAACCTCCTGCCGGCTGATTACGGCTTTGTTTTACGGTAATGTTTACTGCTCAGCTCAGACCATCGCGTGCATCAGCCTGAACAGCTACCTGGCTGTGGTCAAACCATTCATGTACAGGAGACTTGCTACGAAAACACTGGCGGTGTGGACGTGCTTGGTTATATGGTTCCTGTTCGGGGCCGCTGTTGTGCCTGAGCTCCTTGTCAGGCAGAGTTACAACATCTCCCAGCTGGGGATCACAACATGTCATGATGTACTTCCCCTAGACGAAAAATCACACTCCCATCTGGTGCCATATAGGTTGATGCTTATCTGTCTAGGCTTTATAACGCCCTTCCTCTTTTGTATCTATGCCCATGTGGCGGTAATTTACCATCTAGGTCAAAGTGCTTGTGACTGGAAGCCATTTATCAGAGTCAGCACTCTGGTTTTCAGCATCTTCTTGGTGTGCTTCTTGCCCAGTGGCGTCCTGCATATGGCCCACTACATCCGCCTGTTTTCCGGTGGGGACGACAGCCTGTATGGATACTTTAGAGTAGCTGTGTGTCTCTGCTGTTTCCACAGTTGTCTTGATCCCTTCCTGTGTATGCTTATTTCCAAGACAGCGGCTTCAGAACTACAATTTATTTCTCTACGCGAGATATCTCCGAGACAAGCAGTTATGACGTGATACTGGACATGTATACAAAAAAAAACAAAACAAAACCCAAGCCTCCGTACTGGACTATTGTTGGAACACAGCAGGAAGTCACAAGGGGAAAAAAATGACAAACTGAAGACCGGACATTGTGGATTTAACAGGGTTAACATTAGGCTGTATCCAGGTTACATCCAGAATCAGAAACTGTTAATGTGGCCATAGTGTTATTTGTTTCCATGTATACTAAAAACATGTTTTATGTGTCATGTTTTGTTCATCTTTTCATTAAAATTATATCCAAAAGTCAACAATACTTTTTGTAAACAATATATCCGTTACTTTAAAATCAAGATTGAGCAATTCAGATAGATATATACATGACCTAATGTAAAGAAGTGACATAGAATAAAAAACTGCTGTATAACGAAACTAACAAGACAAAGTTATGACACATGGTTTAAATAATGATTCATGGAGGAAGTGGGGGTGCTTACTGAACCTGCTTTGCTCGCCCTTTCCTTCCAGGGGGAGTCCTCTACCTCCTGATCTTAATCATCATCCCATGCCTTCTCCTCCCGCTTCTCTGACAACACATCACCCACGCACATAGGGTCTCAGGGGGGACATGAGCTGCATAGGCCACAGTTGGTAGGGCCATTCACGTGGCTTTGCTGGCTGTGCTGTGCAGTCATCTGTTTCTAATTTTTAATTACCACACAATAAGGGTGGGAGATATATCAAATATACTCGATGTATTACGAGTTTTTCCACTGACGATAGTTAAAATGGCTTTATAAATTGTCATGACAATATTAAGCTGTCTGCATGCAATTCCCTGTGAGTTTTTTTCCCTCCCACACGCTGCACAAGCATCATTAATCCCCCTCCCTCCCAAACAGAAAATTTTCTACCAGGCGCACTGCACTGAGCATGTGTGTTTATATCCTACCAGACGAGCGAGGGAATGAGATTCGCTGAACAAAATGAGGTAATTTGCAAAACGTGCTGTAAACATTTGCCACAAGAGGTAGCAAGACCACGAATTTATTCTACCAGCTGAAAAGTTATCCACTACAAAATTAAGACTTTTTAAACTCCACATGTCAACGTCTCCCCACACATCAAAGAAAACATTAAATAAACCAGCTGTTATACCTGTGACTGTTCTATGTCAGTCGTTTTTATAGTCACTATCTAGACTTTTGTTTCTGTAATTTGAGGTCATCAATTTTTTTTATTTTACTATTTTATGTGTTGTAAGCACAAAAGAGCACCTTTTTAATTTCAATTGTTTTATTTTGTCTCGTGAATTCTTGCTTGATGTCTTTTGTTTGTTGAAGGTCGAGTGTTGACCACAGAATGAGTCATTTATAAAAACCTCTGTGTGCTGATGGTTAAAAACAAAAAACAACAACAAAAAAAACGTTAAAATAAAACCTTTCAATTCATTCAGATTTTTAGTGTTCAAAGTAGAAAAAAAAACCCAAAACACTGAATAGTCCATTTGAATGAGTGGACGGACAGTTGTCATAGGCATGTGTGGTCTTGGATCTTCAGTTCTCTTGGGGGTATGGACGACCGGGGTCTCCTGGATCTTTGACTGTCTGCCTTTTGCTCTCAGGAGGGGGCATTGTTGCCGTACACAGACACTTACATCCTCTCTCTCGCCTTCTCTTCCTCTCTCACAGCAAAATTCTATATTTGTGTCCCTCCCTCTGTTTTGTCTTTCAGTTGCTGCATATCGTTTAAATGTGTGCTTTGTTAGCGAGTTGGAGACCGAAATCCCGTTTACTA